AGGAGATTGGACAGGCAGGTGTCTCTTTAATATCAATCTGTGGGAGTGCTAGGACTAGAAGGGGAGAGGAAACAGCCCGAAGAAAGTTCCAAAAGTTCCAGAGGCCCAGTTCTTTCTGAGCATGTCTTTGCCTGTGTCTCCAGCCTGCACACAGGGCCACAGACGACACACTCCAGGCATTGAAAGGCTTTCTCTGAGAGGAGCTTTCATAGCCGTTTCTCCTAACGGCAGATCAGCTAAGGATATATTATGTCTTCATTTGTGTGACTCCTTGACATTTTCAAAATGCCAGCTCCTCCTCCCCCATTCACTTATCTCTGTGCCTGATCATTTTTGTCAACTTGACACAAACTAGAGACAGCAGGGAGGGGAGAGTGGCCTCCGTTAGACTGACTCCTGGACATGTCTGGGGTGCATTTGATGGCTAACTGATGGAGGAGGGCCTGTCCCACTGTGGTCAGGTCTACCCGCAGACAGGTGGGCCTAGGGTTGTATAAGTTAGGTAGCTGAATACAAGATACAGCACGCCTAGAAACAAGCCAGGATACAGCACGCCTCTGGGGTCTCTGCTTCAGCTTGCCTCTGGGTTCCTGCCTTGAGCTCCTACCCGGACTTGCCTCCATGATGGACGGTAACCTGTAGGGTGAAAGTGTTCTATCAAAGCAACAGAGAAGCAAATTCGGGCTTCTTCTCAAGTGGGGACCTACTACTGCCTACTTCGCACAGTCAGAATTGTTACACATATCAGCTTTCAACGTCTGGGAAATGTCTGGGATAACAGCAGGATTATTGCTGTCACCATCACTGCCATGGGCAGCAGCGGCGGCACCTCCATAGGAGGGCACCTGAGAGCCTAGGCTGCTGCAGCTGATCTTCTGTCTTCACAGTGCCCGATGAGGGGAACGGATGCAGAGATGAGCATTGCCTGCTCTATGGGAAGCACCCCAGGGTGCCAGAGAGGTGTAGCCCCTGCAGGGTTTCCATCAGCAGTATCCCCAAGTCCTTCAAATCAGTGTTTTGAACCAGAACAAGTTGCTTTCTAAAAAAACCTAGCTACAAGGCAAGCCTCAGGACCACCCTTGTGACTCCACCTACCGCCTGCTTGTTTTCAATTCTCAAGTCCCTCTCAAAGAGAAATTCTAGAACTGCCCTGATATGTGCTCGAGTTCACAGGGCGAGAAGCCAGTGTGGCACTCAGTCACTTGGCTCCTGAGTGTGCAGTCTGGATGGTGTAATTTCTCCCAACACTCCGACCACAGCAGTAGCAGCTCCCCAGGGCTTCTAGGTGCCATCTTGGTTGTAAGCATCCCTGGGTGTCTCCGCGCTAAGTTACTTTTCTTACTGGTGTGACACAATATCTGACAAAGGCAATTCAGGGTCTGTTTTGGTTTCAGTCTGAGAGATACTGCCCATGCTGGCAGGGAGAACATTGTTGCATGGAGAGCGGGCCCTTTTATTCTGTCCAGGCCGCCCCGCTAATTTACACCTGAAATAATAACACAGAACTGTATTCATTTAAACACTGCCTGACCCATTAGCTCTAACTTCTTATTGCCTAACTCTTACATCTTAATTTAACCCATTTCTGTTAATCTGTGTATTGTCATGTGACTGTGGCTTACCGGCAAGATTCTAACCAGCATCCGTCTCAGGCAGGAGATCCATGGTGTCTGCCACTCTGGCCTTCTTCCTAGCATCCAGTTCTGTCTACTCTGCCTACCTAAGTTCTGTCCTATCAACTAGGCCAAGGCAGTTTCTTTATTCATTACCCAATGAAAGCAACACACAAACAGAAGGAACTCCTACACCAGAACATGAGGTGTCTTATCACACTATAGTCATGGTCACGAAGCAGACATGGATTCTAGTGCCCAGCTGGCCTCTTGTTTTTCTCATTACCCAGTTTGGGACCCTAACCTGTGGGAAGGAGCCACTCACATCCAGAGTGGGTTCTCTTTCCTCAGTTAAGTCTTTCTGGAAACACCCTCAGGCACATCCAGAATTGAGTTGTTTTCAAATCCTTTCAAGGTGACAATGAAGGTTAAGTGTCATACTGGGCTTGCTCAGTTACGATCTGGGGCCACAGTTGCAGGAGCGTGGGTCAACCTGGTCTCTTCATTTTTCCTTCCCCCAGCTCCATTCCTTTTCTCAATCAGCGGGTGAATAGGTTCATTGCCAGGAAATGACACTGAAGATATCGAATAGCACTGTGGTGTCAGACACCAGGCTAGTGGAGTGTAAGGTCCCGCGGCAGGATGTCTGTCGGCCGCTAATCATTGGGTGGCTGTGCTGGAGGGAGTGTATGGGGGTTGCAGATAAGGAGCTGAGGGGCCAGGATGCTGGAATAGTAAAGAGATAGGAAGGGGCTGGGAGAGCCAACCACCGGACTTATGAATCAGCCTTCTACCCCTTGACAAAACATCTAAGATAATCAGCTTCAAGGAGGAAGTTCATTTTTGGCTCATGGTTTCATAGGCTCCGTTTTGTGGTCACCTGGTCCTGTGAGTTTGAGCTGATGGTGGCATAGTAGGTCATATCAGGAGAATGTGGCAGGGTACATACATACATTTACCCTGTGGCCTCCAGGAAGCAAAGAGAGAAAGAGAGAGGCAGGAGAGGCTGGAGTTTCAATAACCCCTTAAGGTTCATGTTTCCAGTGACCAAATGTACTAGTTACTTTTCTATTGCTGGGATAAAACACCGTGACCAAGTCAACTTATAGAAGGAAGGGTTTATTTGGGCTTCTTGTTCCAAAGGGATAGGGCCCATGTCAATGGGGAGGCAAGGCAGCAAGTGGCAGACACAGAGCAAACTGAGAAACTACATCTTCAATTGCAAATATGAAGCAGAGAGCAAATTGGAAGAGGGGTGAGGCCATGAACTCAACGCTTGGCACCCCCCCCACCCCGAGAAAAACTATCTCTAGCAAAACCTCCTAACCTGCCCTAAACAGTGCTACCGGTTGGGGACCATGTTTTCAAATGTGTGAGCCTACAGGGGATAGTGGTGGTTTGAATAGGAATGGCCTCCATAGGCTCATATATTTAGATGCTTGGTCATTAGCGAGTGGTCCTACTTGCCAGGGAATAGGTGGTGTGGCCTTGTTGGAGGAAGTTTGTTACTGGGGGCGGGTTTTGGGAGTTTCAAATGTCTCTCTTCCTGCTTCCTGCTACCCATCTTGTTGTAGAACTCTCAGCTACCTCTCCAGCATCATGTCTGTCTATGTGCCACCATGTTTCCCATCCTGATGATAATGGACTAAACCTCTGTGATGGGGAACCTCCTTAAGCCAATGATCTTTAAGAGGCTGGACCAGGTTGGGTATCCAGAGAAGAACCACTGGCCCACCCAGAGCTCACTCTCTGTCTCTGGTTTTCATGTTACACGCCTGAGGTTGGACTTTTTGTTTCTGTTTTGTGAGTTTGCCCCTTGTAATAAAAAATTATTACCAAAATCTTTTGGAGTTATCTTGGGGTTATTTGATTCACATCTGCACCCCCTTTTAAGTAACATCTGGCTCCCCATTGTGGGTCGTGGGGACCAGTCTACTCCTCTTTCAGGACCCCATTGGGCACTGACTCTCCCCACCCGTGGCTCCAGTCGGCAGCAGCTCCTGATCCACAGCTGTCACTGGCTCCTGCATACCCCCCCCCCCCAACACAGCGCAGCTCTCCACAGGCCTCTGCCTCTCCAGCCAGGGATCCCCGTGGTGCGCACAGTCTGAGACACTGGTGGAAGGGTCCGGGTTTTCTCTCTATCCTGGTCACCAACTCTCTGTTTCTACCACTGTTTAAGATATTTTGCATATAGATACAATTTTTAGGATATATTTATCATATTGCATTATATATTTCTACCTCTAATCAAGATACTTATATATTGTTTACATTTTGAGGTCATCATCCTCACTTACTACACAGTTGTTTAAAGATTGTTTAATATTCTAGTATGAAGTCTTAGTCTTTAAGTTATATAGGTATTAAGTATTATACGTCAATAGTCATTCATGTTTGTTATACTTATAGTCAGATTAATTAGGTTCTTTAGATACATAGATATTGTATTCTGCATAGATAGGTAATCCTCATCCTCTTCAAAGATATATAGAACATGACATTTAAATAACTTTTGATTCTATTGACGTGAGACACAATTGGTCCTGACAGCACCAATCTATTCCTGAGAGAATATTGAGCACTGAAGACACTCCACTTGGAGTTTGTTTTCTTCCTGGCACAGCTGGCCTTTGGGCAAGGAACTGCCCATGCCTTGACCTCTGACAAAGTGCATGGTGTCCAGATTGAATAAGCAGGACACACAGAAAAAGACTGCCAAATCTTGCCAAGACAGGATAAGATGGTTCTAAAAGTTTTCCTGCCTCTGAAAATGGTCTGTCAGTTACTCTAGGCCTTAGCCAAGGTTGGTTGCTTCAACACTGCAAATGAGACTTTGGGTGATTTTACAGGTGGTCAGTTGTCTCTGTCATATACTAGACATTTTGGAAGCTACTTAATTGCACTTCCTGCTTACTCAAGTAATATTATCTCCCTTCTCAGGCCTTCAATGGGGTTGAAGATTAGATAGTCAGAGTTACCTTCCTCTTATGATTTGGCCAAGCCATTTCCAATGCAAGACTTAGACTCCTTAGAACAGAATGTTCATTAAAACATTTAGCATACATTCCTTGCTTAATATTGTTTATGCTGGTTGTAATCCTAATTTTATACTTAATATCTGTTCCTAGTGTATATAGCTTTAAATTGGGCTTACAACTCTCTTATTTATACAAAAGGCGGAGGTGATGGGGTACCTCCTTCAGCCAATGACCTTTAAGAGGCTGGACCAGGTTAGGGCATGACCTTTTGGGTACCCAGAGAAAAACCACTGACCCACCCAGGACTCACTCTCTATGTCTGGTTCCCATGTTACACACCTGAGGTTGGGCTTCTTGTTCCTGTTCTGTGAGTTTGCCCCTTATAATAAAAATTATAGCTGAAATGTTTTGGAGTTAGCTTGGGTTTATTTGCCTCGTGTCCTCACCCCCTTCTCAGTAACACCTCTGGACGTAAGCAAGCCCCGATTAAATACTTCCTTTTATAAGAGTTGCCGTTCATGACAGCTCTTCACAGCGACACAACATTGACTGATACAGGGATGTTTCTCAGTCGAACAACCACATCACATTTTCTCCTACTGTGCCCGTCTCCTAAAAGTTCCCAGGTTTTTCTCATAGTGCTGCAGGCTGGCATCTAGCCTTTAGCCTATAGGCCTTTGGCAGGCATTTAAAATCTAGATCACAGGCTGGAGAGATGGCTCAAAGGTTAAGAGCGCTTGTTGCTCTTGCAGAGGACCTGGGCTTGGTTCCCAGGATCCATGTGACGGCCTGCAACCACTTGCAACTCCAGTTTCAGGAATCCAGTGCCCTCTTCTGATTTCTTCAGGTACCAAGCATGCGTGTGGTGCATATACACACATGCAGGCTAAATACACACATAAAATAAAATGAATAAATCTTTAAAAACATCTAAGCCACAGCAATCACATTTCCCCTGGTTCTTACTATATATGCTTTATGGCAGTTGAGACTTGGTTCATACACTTCCTCTACTTCCTGCTATGGTCTGCTGGGGTTAGGTGTTATTTCCTTGCTGTTACTGACTTGCCTCAGTGACATAGCACTATTGTTGTGGTCTCATTTGTTGTAGGGCTTTGATTTCATACACCCTTCTGGTTCTCACTTCTCATCAACAGTGAGTGAGTGAGGCCCTTTGGTATCCATCCATCTGTCAATCAGAAGGTAACTCAGTGATCACACTAAGAATTTGCTTGACTATGGATCTGAGCCAGTGTCTTCAACTTCTTAGGCCTTGGTTTCTCTGTCTGTGAAAGAGGGACCGTGACATCCATAATGCTGGCAAAGGGCTGTGTAGCTCTCAGGTGGATGAAGGCTTACAGATACAGCTCAGGTTGCTGACACAAAGCAGAGGAGGGCTTGTGGTTTCCTCTGTGCAGAACAAGGCCCTGGCTGTGCCATACTCACCCAGAATGCTTCATGATTTGAGGTCTGCAATGCAGAAACAAGGGTTGGATGGAACTTCAGAGGCGTTCTAGACCAGTGACTTGCCACTTGACTCTGCAAAGCAGCCCAAGTATTGTGAGATGTCAGTGGGTGATCTCTGTGTGAATGTGGTTCTGTAATTTTTTTCAGGGCCAAGAGATCTTGGAAAATGCTTCACATACAATTTACTTCTTCATGAGTCATAATGCTGTTTATATGTGAAGGACTCTGACAAGTCCTATAGCAAAGAATTACATTTAACTGAGTGTACCAATTTGTGTCTTCTAGGAAGCAAATTTTTCCCTCAAAAAAAAAAACCCACAAAGTAAGAGATTGTGGTAGGCAATCTTCATCGCCAACTTGACACACCTAAGTTGAAGAATTGCCTCCATTGGAGGGGGGTGCCATTTTTCTGATTGCTAATTGATGTGGGAGGGCCCAACTCACCTTGAGCAGTTGTCATTCCTAGGCGAGTTGCCCTGGGCTCTATGAGAAAGGTAGCTGAGAAAGCCAGAGGGAGCAAGCTAGGAAGCAAGGTTTCTCCTTGGTTTCAGCCTCAAGCTCCTGCCTTGAGTTCCAACCTTGGCTTCCCAGGATGACCTGTAACCTCTAAGCCAAATAACATTTTCTGCCCTCAAGTTGTATCATAGCACCGTAAAGCAAACTGGTCAGAGTTCCAGGGGAGCTGGGTATGGTGACTCACACCTGTAATCTCAACACTAGTGAGTCTGAGGCCATGGGGGTTGCTATGAGTATGAGGTCAGCCTGGGTTGTAGAGTAAGACACTGTCTCAGAAAACCAACAACAAAAGACGCAAGAGGCTGGGGAAGCACAGAGAGCAGGAGGTAGAGAGTCTTCAGACTCCCCAGGAAGATCTTACAGGAACAATGAAGAGAGACAAGAAAAGACTGTGGGGCAAAAGTGCCCTTAGAATACAGTGAAGCTCTGAGAAAACCTCGGTCACCCAAATGGAGACCCCCAAATAAAGCTGACTCCGCAGAGGTCTGCCCAAGGTCAAAATGGTCTGTCTACCTCTCTGCGCTGTCACTGGCTGGAGCGGCTGGGGAGTCCATCTCTCCTTCTCAAATGTTTGGCACGGATTCAGTCATTAGATCCCCACGTTGTCCAGTGAGCCATGTCTTGCCGTCGTTGCCACCTTTACAGCTGGGAAAACGGAGTCATCGAGAGATACAATTACTTCCTCAGGAGAAAGCAACTTCTGGACTGTGAAGCCGGCACTGCAGCTGGGAGCTCAGGCCCTGGATGTAGTAGATTTTGGATTGTGCCCTTGCATCCTGAGCTCACCGTCACAGCATGCTGAAGACTGCGGGGCTGGCTGTCACAGCTCACTTTCCTTCTGTGGCTTCCCGATACTCTGCTGCCCCCCCCCCCCCTCCGCTAGCATAGCGGACCCTTCTCTCTTCTCTCCGTGATTTGCTCCCGCTGTCCTGATCATCTTAATCTCGCTCACCATCCCCTTTCCCTCTGCTTGTGTCTTTGTGTAGGACATTTTGCCTTTTCTGTCTCAAAACCTGCCCGGCTCGTGCTTTTAACTTCCCATCCCAGGGGCCACACCTAGGATCTGGGGTAAAAAAGATAGGATGCTTTAGCTGGTGGAGACTTCCTCTCTTCCGCCCCCGCCCCCGCCTTGTTCCTCCTTCTTGCCCTTTTCTTTCCCCCTTTCTCCTCCCTTTTCCCTTTATTCACCCAAGGAGGAGATTTTTCTACTGACTTGGGCTATCCGTTCATTACACTGTTAGAGTGGCTTCTCAGGCACAGCTGCTGGAGGACAGCTGGTGCCTCTTCCTTCCCGGTAGGATCTGAAGTCTTGGAGAATGAGACATTCCTTGCACCCAGTCCTTCTGGAGAGCGAACCGGAGAATTGTAGTGCCTGTCTGAGTGTCTGAGGCCGTTTGTTGCTCTGCCCGTGAGCACTCCTAAGAGAGATGAGGGAAACCCTGCCTGGGGCCAAAAAAGGGCACATTCTGGGAGGAACCTCAGAGCTGAGCCTGGGGCTGAGTCACGCTCAGCTCAGCTCTGTGTCCCTACGCTTCTGACTCAGCAGAGATTTCTTCATATTCAAAAAAGCCGCTGCTCTGAGGGGACCCGAGGGAGGGATCTTCTCGTTCACTTAGTCCTGCATTTGTGGCTGAGCAGCAGGGGTCCAAATATTGAAGGCTGGCGACAGGTCAGCGAAGATCCAGTCCTTTAGGAGTGCTTGGTGCGTGCAGGTGCTTGGGCTGGGCTGGGCCTGGGGTTGGGGTCGGGGCTGGAGCTGGCATTTCTAGACTCTCTGGAGACAGCGCGTTCTGCCTCTGCACCTTAGGTTGAATGGACTGAGGGTGCTTCTAAGGCCCAGCTCCTCTGTCCTGAATAGGTTCTGCAGGGAGGCTTCAGCCTTCTGACTCATATCCAGAAGGGAGTGTCCCGGAACAGACTTGGGACTAATTGAAATGCAAGTCATATCAGGAGTGTGGATTCTGTCTCCTGAGATGTGAACTCATAAGCCAGAAGACACAGCTGTCGACTAGTGAAGTTGTTCTCTGTAATAAAACTTAGTTCTATTCATTGCTTTATTATTTTTATTTGTGTGTGGAGGGTTGCATGCCCCTCTTGCAAGGGCTAGAGGTACTGGGGGTCCCCTTATACCACCTTGTCCTCCGCCTTGAGGACAGGCCTATTGTTGAACCTGGAACAAACACATTCATCAGCATTCATCACATTCATCAGCCTGTAAACCCTAGCTATTTCCCTGTCTCTGCCCACTCAATGCTGCAGTTACAGATGTGTGCAGGACCACTCCCAGATTTGAGGCGGGTGTTGGAACACAGACTCCAGTCCTCGCCTTGCTCAGCGATCTTGCACAGTAAGCACTTTCAGCCACCGAGTCACTGTTCCAGCCCCCTTAGCTCTTTCCATATGACTTCTGTTAGAATACTTGTACGATGGAGCCACAAATACCTGCCCCACTGCCCACTAACCTGTGGTTCTTCTTCTCTCTTTTTCATTTTTTGAATTAATTTTATTAGTATATATTTGTTGTGCAAAACAATTGATTTTGTTGTGACATTCTCAAATAGTCACATAAAGGACTTTGATAATAGTCACTACCCCTACCCCAGTTCTGGACCTGGGCCCCCTGTTACTGTCATATGTTGCTATTATTTCTAAGTTCCAATTCTGAAGCTGAGTGCCGTGGCACCTGTCTGTCATCCTGGGACGCCAGAGGAGGAGCATGGACCAGAGAAAGTGTGTGTGTGTGTGTGTGTGTGTGAGAGAGAGAGAGAGAGAGAGAGACAGACAGACAGACAGACAGACAGACAGAGAGACAGATAGAGACACACACACACAGAGACAGGCAGACAATACAAAGAGAAACAGACAGACACGCGCGCGCGCGCGCACACACACACACACACACACACACACACACACACAGAGAGAGAGAGAGAGAGAGAGAGAGAGAGAGAGAGAGAGAGAGAGAGAGATTGGTTTGTTGTGAATCGTGCAGATTGTCCATGGAAGCTGACTTAGACTCCTAGACTTGGTTTAGATAGATACTCAAGTAGTCCTATTTCTTTTTGAGATACTGCCACACTGATTTTCATAGTGGATTCTCTAATTTATATTCCTCCAATAGCCTATAATGCCCCCTCACCCTCACTCTGGTCAGCATCTATTGCTGCTTTTCTTGATGACAGCCATTCTGACTACAGTGAGACGGAGTCTATGGAAATTCCCCATTGACTAAGGATGCCAAATGTGTTTTGCATGTTTATTGGACACTTTGCTTCATCTCTGGGAACTCTCTGTTCATTTAATTTGTCCATTTACTGATTGGATTTTGTATTTAATTTTTGGTGTTCCTTATAGATTCTGGATATTAATAATCCGTCCAGTGTATAGCTGGCAACGATTGTCTCCCATCCCATCCTGTAGGTAGGCTCTCTTCACTCAGTTAATTGGTTCCTTTGCTGTGCAAACTCATTTAAAATTGGTTCAACCCCATTTGCCAATTCTCGTCATTTCTTCCTGAGCTATTAGAGTCCTCAGAGAATCTTTGCTTGTACCCACACCTTCAAGCATCCCTCACCCCATGATTTCAAATTTTTACCTTTTATGTTAAGGCCTTTGGTCTATTTTTAATTTATTTTTGTAGAGGATGGTCGATAGTTTTATTACACCACAGTGAATATCCAGCTTTTACATTTGTGAAGGGGCTGTCTTTTTCTTTATTTAAATTTTTTATTCATTTTACATAACAACCACAGTTCCCCCTCCCTCCTCTCTTCCCTTTTCCCCCACCTCTCCCCCCACTACAATTCACACTCCATTCACTCCTCAGAAAGGGTAAGATCTCCCATGGGAAGTCAACAAAACCTGGCACATTAAGTTGAGGCAGGGCCAAGTTCCTCCTCTCTGCATCAAGGCTGAGCAAAGAATTCCACCATGAGAAATGAGTTCCCAAAAGCCAGTTCATACGCCAGGGAGAGATCCTGGTCCCACTGCCATGGGCCCCTCAAACAAGCCAAGTTACATAACTGTCGTTCACATGCAAAGGGCCTAGTTAGGTTCCATGCAGATTCCCTAGCTGTCTGTCTAGAGTCTACGAGTTCCCACAGCCTGGGGTCAGCTGTCTCTGGGGATTTCCCCGTCATGATCTTGACCTCCCGTGCTCATATCATCCTTCCTCTCTCTCTTTCACTGACTCCCAGAACTTGGCCTGGTCCTTGGCTGTGGATCTCTGCATCTGCTTCCATCAGTTGCTAGATGAAGGTTCTAGGATGATAATTAAGATAGTCACCAATCTGAAAACAGGGGAAGGCCAGGTCAGGCACCCTCTCCACTATTGCTAGGAGTCTTAGCTGAGGTCATCCTTGCGGATTCCGTGGAATTTCCTAGCCCCAGGTTTCTCCCTAACTCCATAATGGCTCCCTCTATCAAGATGTCTCTAACATTGCTCTCCTCTTCCATGCCTACCCCAACTCGACCATCCCATTCCTTCATATTTCTCTCTCTACCCCCCATCCACAGTTTACTCAGGCAATCATGTTTATGTCGTCTAAAATCAACTGTTTATATTGCTATTTTAATCTTCATTACATTAATTTTGTTTTAACCTTCATTATTTCTTTTATCTACAGTTTTTGGGTATGGTTTATTATTGTTTTTATAAGATCTCAAGACGCATACTTAAATTATTTATGTGTGATCTCTCTGATTTGCTTAATGTAGGCACTGTTAACTATAAACTGTCCTCTTGGAATTACCTTAGCTATTGTCCCCGAAGTTCTGGCAAGTTATGCTTTCATTTTAATTTGATTCTAGGAATTTACAACAATTTCTTGTTAATATTTTTAATGACACATTGTCCATTCCAGCGTGCATTCTTCAGTCTCCAAGCATTTGTGTTGTTACCGTTGTTTCTAGCTCTGTTTATTTGTAGTTTCACACCAGAAATTATTAGGTTCTCTTGTGTTTGTTAAAAGTTATATTGTGCCCTTGAATGTGATCTATTTTCAAATATCTGTTTGATGGAATATTCTGTAGATATCTATGAAGTCAGTTTCATCTATGGTGTAGTTTGGGTGAGCTATCCATAGATGGAAATGGAGTTAACTGTATAACCCTTCTGATCTTTTATGAAGTGAAAGTGTAGCCTGGATTATATTGGAGATGCCAGAACTGTGGGATATCTGCCAGGAAGAGTTGCAGACAGGAAGTGGAACAAGCCCTAGACACAGAAGTGCCTTGCAGTCAGCAAAGCCTGAAGGGGGGAGCCCTTTGACATCAGACATGCAATGTGGGAGGGCCTTCTCTGTATGTGTTGCTCTTATTGATTGACGAGTAAAACTGTTTTGGCCAGTGGCTTAGCAGAGTAAAGTCAGGAGGGAAATCTGAACAGATATCTAGAGAGAGTAAACAGAGTCAAAGAAAGAGGATATGTAGAAAAAGAAGTATTGCTATGGCCATGTAATACACAGACTAATAGAAATGGGTGAATTTTGGATATAAGAGCTAGCTGGAAATATGCTGAGCCATTGGTCAAACAGTGTTGTAATTAATATAGCTTCTGTGTGATTATTTGGGTCTGGGCATCTAGGAAACAAAAGTGCAGTCTCTGTTAACAGACATGGGTTATAAATTTGAAGTTTTCCCTTCTGGGATTCAGGCATGCATTGGTCCAGCATTTCCTTGCTATGCCTCCATTCCTCCCATCTGGAATGGTAATGTACAATCTGTGCTGTTGTCTGTTGGAAGTACATAATTTGATTTTGATTTTTACATAGGATGACAATTAAGAGATGGCCTTGAATCTCAAAAGAGACTTCGGATTTTTAAACAATATTGAGGTTGTGAGAGACTAAGGGGATGTTTGAAGTTGAACTAATAGTTTGGGTTGCAGTAGGGCAGGGAATGGCGTATGGGGCCTTGAGTGAGAACAGTGAGAACGGCTCCACTAGGATCCTATAATTGAATACTTGCTCTCTGTTTGTGGCACTGTTTGAAAAGGATTAGGAGGTGTGGCCTTGTTGGAGGAAGTGTGTCACTCAGTGTAACAATGAGGGCCAGCTTGTTGGGGTTTCTGTCCCACTCAGTACCCCACAACCGGTAAGCCCCAAAGAAAATCATACAGAGATCTTCATAAGTTATAAAACTGATTAGCCCATTAGCTCAGGCTACTTATTAGCTCTTGTAACTTATATTAACCCATTGTTCTTATCTATGCTAGCCACACGACTCGGTACCTTTCACATCAGGGCAGGTTACATCTTGCTTCTCGGTGGTCTGGGCAGGAATGTGGAGGGAGCTTCCTGCTTCCCAGAATACTTCTGTTCTCTTTGCTCCACCTCTGCTTCCTGTCTGATTTTCCTGCATATACTGCCTGCCTGGCCAATCAGCATTTATTTAAAGCATGATTGACAGAATACAGACAATTATCCCGCACCAACTCAGGGTGGCTTCAAAGGTCCTTGCCATTCCTGGTTGCCTCTCTCACTGCCTCCTACTTCTGGATAAGGATGTAAAGTCTTGACCACTGTTTTAGCACCATGCCTTCCTGCTGCCATGCTTCCTGCCATGATGGTTATGGACTCTAGCCCTCTGGAGCTGTGAGCCCCAGTAAACTCTCTTTCTTCCATATGTTGCCTTGGTTATGGTGTCTCTTCACAGCAATAGAAAAGTAACTAAGAATATATGTAAGAAGGGGAAATATAAGATAAAAACCTAGTAAGGTAAACTTAAAAATTT